GCATATAGAAGACAGCTACTGTGTAGCTCCCCAACGACGTCATCAATGAAAATTTGGAAAAGCAAAGGACCAAGAGCAGAGCCCTGAGGTACGCCGAAAGAAGGTATAATCTGAGTGGAGGTGAAGTATTCGACTTTAGAAGCATCTGTTTGTAAGATAAGATTTGAAAAAGTTCAAGAATTCATGGGTCAACCCTCGCGTAGCTAGTTTCTTTAACAAAATACCGTGATCTAGCTTATCAAAAGCCTTTGAAAAGTCAACGTAAGCAACATCTTGCCCCCCTTCATCAACAAAGTTATTCTTGAATATGAAGTTATTAATATGCCACATGTCTAATTTTGTGCTACCAGACAGCAAAGTGTGTTCTTCAAAAAAAAATAATAATTTTGAAAGATACGTGTCGTGCGTGTAATCCTTTTTGTACCATACGAACATCTTTATAAAATATTTATCTATATTCAAAGGTTTCTGTCCTACAGACGAGGAGGATTAAGTCAATGGTGTTGGTGGGAAACAAGAAAACTCTTAAATAAGTAATTGCGGCTGAGGCAAAGTGGATACTGTATTCGCCCGTAACCATATTTTTGTAAATAACTATTGCACAGAAAAATGAAGATAGAAAAAAACAGGGATCCTGACACTGTTTTTGAAATGACTCTAGCAAGTACCCGCCGTCTAGTACTACTGCCAGTCAACACGTTGTTTTTGCAATGTTGTGTATTAAGTCCTTGAAGGGGAAGGAATTGAAAATTGAACGACTTGGGACAATAAGGATCCTAAGTCACATTTACTTTATTTCGAGAAATCTTAAGTTATAAGTTTCATGAAAATCCTGAAATCACGCTTCTTGCTTAATTTCAAATTTTGAAAAACAAAGATTTGGAGACAACAGAATTGAACAAATATACCGCGTTTCCGTAAAATAAATTCATTATTAAATATGTTATACTTGTTCCCTTATCAAAAAAAGGTTGTACTCAACCCAGTGGCGGCTCGTGATTTTACAAACAGGTGACGCAGGATTGACCGACCCCCCCCATACCATGTAGAGCGCATACACAAAAAAAAAACATGAAATAACTTACCTAAATTCAGTAACTCGAAAACAAAGTCAGGATTATCAGGCACTTTTCATTGTTTATATATGAGAGTAATTCGTCGGTCCTTCAAATTAGCAAACTTATTTATAACGTCATCGTAAAACGGCTGTGACACTATCAGTTCATTTAATAATTCTTTTTCGATCGATATTTTTGCCAAGTTCGACAACCGATCTTCCGACAAGGTACTTCGTAGATAACTTTTGATTCGCTTAAGGCATGAAAAACTGCGTTCTGTCGAAACACTTGTTGATGGAATGGTCAGTATTAAACACAAAAGCTTATATGCCTCCTTGAAGATACTGCGATTCTCAAATAGCGATTCCTTTAATAAGCGGGGTTCCATATTTTGATATTGATCATCGCTATAGATCAGCTGCAATTCATTTTTCAGTCTCTGAAAATCTGTGAATGTATTTGAATAAAACTCCTTCAAATTACTTAGGGCTTCTGTTGGAAATTTTTCTGAATATGTTTTGAACTTCGAAGTGTCCATTAACGTCACAAAATGAAGCTTTTCCATATCTTGGAAACGGGTCGTGATTTGCAGAGAAATGGTATCCAAAATTTCAAAATACAGCACTCTATATCTTTCAATAATTTGAGCCCGAGACAATGTTACTCTTGTCCTGCCGTCGCGGTGTTCCGTTTGTACACTTGTTTTTGATGCAGCCAATTCGAAAATATTCTTAAATGTTTCTTCATTTCTCTTCTTGTTTAATTGTGTTTGAACACTTTTAATTTGCTTAATGCAAAGGTTTATATCAAAAGATTTTTTTTGCAGTGTGTCGAATAGTATATCTGTCATTCCAAAGATCTCGTTAAAAACAACAACCAAAAGCACGAATTCGAAGTCATGGAATTTATTTAGAAATCCGTCGCTCTGTCTAACCGAGGCTTGATCGGAGGTTGGATCATTAAAAATTTCAGTAAACACTTGCTTTAAGGAATCCCACTCCTTATTTATAAAACTGATAACTTTAGAATTTGATGTCCATCGCGTAATAACGGAAACAGGTATTCGACGTCCTATTATTGAGTCTGCTACGTTAGTTCGTTTCGGAGAATGGTGAAAAAATGTCGGTAAACCACTTATAGTTGCAAAAAAAATGCGGCATTTTGTAATACTATTGCAACTTTGTTGTAACACTAGATTCATGCGGTGTGCGAGGCAATGAACAAAAACTGCTTGGGGTGCCTGTTCCTTTATTTTAGCCTGAAGACCATTTAACTGTCCGGACATGACGCTTGCACCATCGAAACATTGTCCAACGAGTTTTGTTTTGTAATCAAAATTTTGTAGACACCTTGTCACGAGGTTAAATAATGCTTCAGATGTTCGGCTGCAGCTTACATCATGAAATCCTAAAAATCTCTCCACAAGTTTTCCTTCAAGATTGACATAACGGATTATTATGCTGCACTGCGATTTGTGGGCAATATCGGTAGAATCATCCACCTGAATGGAAAAAAACTGCATTCCTTTATTTCATTTTCCACATATTCATCAATGCATTTGACAATGCAGTCAATAATTTCGTTTTGAATGGTTTTAGAATTGCCCGCAAATATTGAGGCAATTTTTTTGTAGTGCTCCTGAATGTCTACAGGGCTTATAGATACAAATGCTTCTAGGAGCTCTTTGAAATTTCCACGGTTAATAGGAGTCGTCTCTTCGTTGTGGCCACGAAACGCCAGTTCTTGTTTGCCCAAAAAAAGGACAGAGCGTATTGGCAATTCCATGAAACGTCTATTAAGTTGCACGTTTTCGTTAAACTGTTTAATATACAGCCTGGAATTTTCGCGTAAAGCATCCTCAATAGTAGTGAGATTTTTCTTCAATTTTGAAAAACCTAGTGCGCAACGCATATGATCCGATGATCCTTCATGTTTACGAAGAGCACGAGTCACATTCCCGAAATCATTGAAACCGTACTTGCTCCACACGGTTGCTTTAACACTTACAATCAAACACGGCACACAAAAAAGTTTATTTAAATAATAGCTACCACATAACCATGCAAACTCACTATACCACGATTTTTTTAAATTTCGACTGTACACTTTGTCCTTAACTTTAGCGGTTTTATTTACATTTAATATCGGAGAAGGTTTTTCGGAGTTTAAAAAGTCTTTTTTATCATCATTACTCCATTGAGAAAACGATTTTTCCAACATAACACAAACCGTATCATAGACAGGAAACATTGTTCAAAACAATGAAAACTAACCTCGACACAATACGATATCGGTAGTAATGCAGAGCAGACTAGACGCAAATTCATAATTTGCTTCACTTGCCTCGGCCAAAACGGAAGCGCGCGTGCCGTTGTCATGGCAACCGTCGTATTTGCTCGTATCTGTACTGGACGCAGCAATGCGGTGCAAATAAAGCTGCTTCAGGTCTCTGTTTCAACACGCCAAATTAAGCGCAAACGTAGGCGCGTTGTTGGTTGCGGGGTTTCTCAGTATTCTGTTGATCGCAAATACAAATAAAGAATGTCCGAAAAATAATTTTTTAAGATATAAATGAATTTTTTTTATAAATTTCAAAATAAAAAAAATATATTTTTTTTGAAATTGCAGGTGAAGCAGCGCTTCACCTGCGTCATGGGGCGAGCCGCCACTGACTCAACCGTAATTTGAAAATGGTTTGTTTTATAAACATATAATTTGAGTGTTCGCTGTTAGACTTGAAATATCACACTTTGTTAAATTTGACAGACTCCTTATCTACGTTAAGGTTCTTCTACGTGAAAGATATGGAGTCAATACTTAAAAGTTCTGTTTTTCAATTAGGATTGTGTCCGGTGCGTTTTCAATGTTAAAAAATCATGAATGTTTGTTGAAACTGAAAGTCTCAAGCGATATAGTAAATGTATGTGGACAAGAAGGGTATACAAGTAAGTCACTTATCATAAGGTTACAGATAAAGTTTTATTTGCGGTCTACGATAGTCTTCTCAACAAGGATAATGATCTATTCTGATAAATACATAGTTTGGTGTCATTATCTAGCGGTGTTGTGAAAAAATAGTTTTCCAACGCAATCTATAACGGGGGCAATCAAGTCATAATGCACGTATTTATTCCTTTATCATTTTCTTAATATTTGAAACATATTTTTTCTATCACAATGCAAATATACTCGTATTCATCATAATAATGAGAATTCGTAATGAAAAGAAATGAAAAAAATGCGTATCCTTTAACCTGCTATACAAAAATCAACATTATACACCGCGTAAGTTTGACGTGTACGTATATATCTGTATGTCGGTATGTTATTGAGGAAGAATACCCATTTACGAATAACATTTTAGTTCGAGGAATCGTTTTGTTTTTTTTTCTTGGTGAGCGCGCCCTTATTAATGAAGGGCCCCTAGTTGCCTACTCTGGTTAATAGTTAATCCGGCCCTGCACACTGTCATCTGAACTAAACCCCTAACCATCGTTGTTCTCTGTAGCATTGGAATATACACTATTGTCTTCATCATCACTATTTTCCGTTTGGCCTCATTTTGGAATTCAAGTGACTTATAGCTTTCTTGCCATATAAATATGTGGGAAATCGTGGTTGTTTAAAAACGCCGTTTTGAAATTATAGCGGCATCCATCAACGAGTTGTAAAAAAATCGACACTCGAACATGGATAGGTCTACGCCACAGGTGCGTTTAGATGGAAATGTAGTTTTTTATTCAAATGGGGCTTAGGTCCTTTATTGCCCCAACCCCTATTATACCACAAATACGAGTATATATACGTATACACATATATTCTAGAAAACGTGCCCAGTAAAAAAACATTTTGAGGAACGTGTGATTTAGGTGGTGTTTGAAACGACCGCTTCAATTCTACAGCTTACAAGTTTACAAGCATAAAATATTGATAAACACGAACCTTTCCATCTACTCGGATAACCCTTTTTCCTGTAGTGTGTCCATGTTCAAACTCCACGGTGTGCACACCGTCTAACAATGGGATGCTCCAATATGCCACCAAGTCTGTCCGATCTTGGCTGCCCGTTTTTTTCAATGTCTCGGTCATGGCTATCCAACCACTAATTCCAACTGCACCATCGTCGAAGTGGAAAATTCACATAGTTTCGTCGATAACGACCTTGATGAGCATATAGGGATGAATATTTTATAGGGGTGAAATAGAATATCAGGGGCGGAGATGCTGAAATATAGGTTATATTACAGAATTACTTTAGTAGGTATGTAGTACATGATACAATATTAAAATAGATGTGCGTATTTCAGGAAAAGAGCAAGACAATTATATCGTAAGGTGGGTGAACCATGGGAAGCCACTCTTACAAACAGTTTGTTCTATTATTTAACTTATTATATATTTTTTATTGCAGAGCTAAGCACTTATTTAATTCAAGTTTTATCAACCTCGTGCAAGGAACAAGGCTTTGTACAAGGCCAGTATAATAAATCAGTAGTTTAACTTAAAACTAACATTGTGATCAAAATATCTGCTTATATTACTCAAATTACATCTAAAGACCTTTTATTAAAATGAAATATCAATAATATATTCTCATAAAAGATACTCAATGAACATTGCATGAACGCTATCGTAAAGCTAAAAATGATTTCATGAGAATACTTTCCTAAAAATTTTATTGAGTTTATATAGATAACAGATAAGTCACCAATAAGCTTTATATGGCGTTAGAAATTTACAATTGAAAAGATTGAAGAAAATAATTGTGTATTTCTTGAAAACTTACTTCTCACTCTATTTGACTATTAACATTCTTCCCATTGTTTCTGCAAAAACTGTTAAGACCTGAGGCACACCACTGAGAAGGTGTTTGTATTGTGCGGTGGTGGGTATGTTTTGATTGAACTGTGCTAAAAGCAACTTGCCGCATGGAACGTACGGATATAAAAGTAGATCAATAACATATTTGGACACTGCTCATTCTAATACAGGGTGGTCGCAGGATCGATCTTCTGGAAGATGTTCGTCTCGGGATAAGGGGGTATGAACTATTCGAAATTGAAAGGGGGGGGGGTAGCGCTCGCGCTCCACGACTTAGTTCTAGCTCTAGCAAGGTAATTTTAAGACCAAGCAACAACAGTTGATGGGCTTGGGTTAATACGGTACATAACCCAGATTTAAATAAAAAACTACAATTTATCTAAAAGCGCCCGAGGCGTAGGTATTTATGTCCGAAGTTTCAAAATGGCGTTTTTGAAGAACCACGATATCCCACTCATGTTTATGTCAAGAAAGCTTTAAGCCTATAAGCTATTTTTTGTGTGGCTGGTGACCTACTGCAGTCTTCAGGAACGTTAGTACTTTTTTAGACATAGAAAATGCATCTGGTACAGTCCTAATGGAGAAACAGTTCTTTTATGCATTTGACTACATATCTGTCACGAAAAATAACAACGTAGATAAGGAGTCCGCCAAATTTAAAGAAGTGTGCTGTTTGCAAGTCTAAGGATGAATACTCAAATTATATATTTATAAAACAAACCATTTTCGGAGTACAGTATTTTGTTTCAATAAGGCACCAGTATTTTCAAAAGCGAACGTATTTTACGAAAATGTTTTATATTTTTACCATTCTGTTGTCACCAAATCTACGTCCTCAAATTGTAAACCTATTGTTGCATTCCAATCGAAATTAAGCAAGAACCGTGATTTGCATTCCCTACGAATGTCGGAAAATAGGTCAATGATTAAACTTTATGTTGATGATAAATGGAAACTTTTTAAAAATGGGTGACCTCTACTTTTGGGATTACCCTCGTAAATGTTGTTTATAGAAAATAACTCTTAACTACGTTCAATAGAAACCACGCGTATAGCAATCAACGTCAAAAGACAAATCAAAACAAGAATCATCCACATTTATTGAGTATTGTTATAATACATTATTTCTATGGCTTGACAGGAAGCAAGGTCCCAGTACAGGTTCCAAATCCCAAGACATATCCATCGCCTTCACAAAAAGCTTTCATTGTCACAGTATCTCCATCTTGCAGGAACTTTCGTTGGCTACCATCCAGGAGCGATACGGGCTTGGTTCCTTTCCAACAAAGCTCCAACATTGAACCAAATGAGTCCGAGGTCTGAAATGAAGGTTATATAAGACCAAAGAGTAGTTATACAGAGAAATTTAAATATCACTGGCGGGGTAATGTGTATGAGAGAGAAGTGCGAGAAACGTTCAATACGTATGTTAAAACGAGTGCGCCTTTGGCCGCTCGGCATACACAATACAGTTGATGGCATCTAAACAAGTGCTGTTCTTATTAAGTTTGAAATAAATGCAGTGTTGCCAGTCAGATAATCGTTTTTGGATGGATTCCTTTACCATCACTTGTAGTGAACGCAATTTTTTGTTCAAATTTACCTTCATTTGGACATTACTTATGGTGGGGGTATTTATCATCCATTTGCGGCATACGAAATATATTATTCATTCAATAAAGTTATAAATCACACTTTTCGCGAGAGAAGCTATTCTCAAAGACTGTTGTAAGTTATCATACAGCTGTTTAAGTTTTAGCGCCTTACATAGAATATTATCCAATTTACCTTAGTAACAAAAAAGGAACGTGAGCTTGAGATTCATATGTTTTCTACCCTCAAATTACTTATTTTCCAATCGTCGGTCTACTTAACATGATTGCCATTCATCTAGACAGCCTGACCTTAAGACGATATGTTTAGTACTTATGCCGTTTGATTTTTTAACGTAATCACTAAAACTGAACTCATTATAAATGTAGCATTTTCTAGACATTTAATGTCATTTTGGCTACGCAGTCTTGGTACATGCAGAACCATCCATGAGCGAATCGCCAAACCAAGGACGGTCCGCAAATAGATTGATGTTGTTATTTGTAAGAAAGTATCAGTCCATGAGCCAAACGAAAAGTTTTAGTAACATCACATACTAATATGGAATGTCAAAAGCTAGTCACATCTAACGTTGTTCGATGCTAAACAGCATAGTTGGTAAGTTGCTATATTTGCTGTTTAGCATTGAACAACGTAAGATGTGAATAGTTTTTATCCTATTATATCCCTACCTACGCGATGATGTAGCAAGCAATTTGCGATCGGTTTCCCTACTATTATGCAGAAAACTCTCAAGGTCAATGGTCATTTCACAAAGACATAACTACTCTTTGGTCATAGTTACCAAGAGAAGACAGGCAGGGCAAATATAGTATAGAGAGAGACAAGAGATGTAAACAAAAACATGACGCCAGCAAAACAGCTGATGACCTCTAAAAACGTAGTGTTTTATTTGGCCAGAGTTAAACGCGGCGTTGTCAGGTACATAATCCTTTCTGGATGAGCAAAATATAGTTTTCATTCAATGAAGTTATAAATCACAATTTCCAAGACTGCTCTTCGCGACGTGTAAAAAAAGTTATCAAAATCGGCAAGCTATACCACATAGCAGTTTAACTATTAGGGAATATTACACGTTTTAACTTAGTAACAAAACATTTTTCAAACCTCAAATTGTTTAATTGACCAGTCGTCGGCATATTGGACATAGTTATCTAGACAACCTAAAACTATTAAAAAAAAAACAGAACTTAATCGAGGTCAGTATAAATAAATTATTTTCTACACATTTTGTCAGTTTGAGAACACCTATGAGCGCATCGCCAAGCCAAGGACGGTTTGTTCAAACACTGAGAAAACGTGACCAATGGAACAAGTTTTCTGGAAAATTCTAATTTTTTTAATTATTCTAAATAACTGAATTATTCGGTTCGATTAAACTGAACTTTCTGGAACCATTTATATGATAATAGTGCACCACGGATCTTTTTTAATTAACTCTTTAATTAATTTAGATAATTTAGTTTATGGAAGAAAAGAACATCTGAAATAATTAAACTTGCACTACACATAGGTAAGCAGTTTAACTGAAACAGTTAAACCTTTTATTTGAACCGCACCTTCGGCAGTGCTCGGCTCTGTCTTCATGAACGATCGGGAGGTCTGCGACAGGAACAATTCGGATTACACCTTATTCTCATGTGTAATTTTCGCGACAAATGGCGTGTTCTTTCTTAAATTTTATTTCGAAGCATTTTTCAGTTTAAATGAAATAATTTAGAACTAGGCAAATAGTTTTGCAGCACTAATTAAACATTCCTAACATATACCTACTAGTAAGCAGCCTATTGAACTCGTTTTGATAATTCATTAATTTCAGACAGATTTGTTTAATTACACCCAGTAAATAGTTTAATATATAATACCTACTTAAAGACATGTTTTTGATGCAATTAAACCATTTTAGCAATCGGAGTTATTCAACTAATTAAACTTGTTAGCTGTTACATAGCAAATTTACTTGTTTAATTGGTTTGATTAAATTTTTAATACTTTAATTACACATTTTTCTCAGTGCAAGTAATAGTCCAAGAGACGACCGCAAAGCTTTGGTTACATCGACCACTAATACGATATATCAAAAATTGGTCAAATCTTACGTATTTTGATGCAAGTTTGCCTCTTATATCCCGTACGACTTGTCATTCACCATTCAACTAATTTCTCGGGTGTAAAAACATTACACAGTGACTTGGATCAGATACATACATCACCACTAATGGTTCCACTTCCCATGAGATCTCCAGGATTCACATTGCATCCAGTAACGGTGTGATGTGCAAGCTGCTGTTTTGCTGTCCAGTACAAATATTTGTAATTCGAGCGGCATACTGTTGTTGATACATTGCTTCCTTGAGCTGCAAAACATCATAGCTTATAATGACTCCATTTGTTATAATAGTTCGAGGTTCTTGTTGTTACAATCTCATGTCTTTTCCCGAGTACCATTACGTCAAATATGAGAGCAAATAATAGCTGATTATCTAGTAACATAAAAATACTCCATATCGACAAGTGACACACAATTTTGTAGACAGAGTCGTATTTTGCTGTGGTTCTTTGTAAGCTACGGATTCCTGCTCCCTAATAACGCTTTTATTTAGAAAAGTACCTCCGCACACAAGAAAAAATACTACAAGCAGAATGGCTGCCAATGGTCATGACTATATTTCAAGTAACGTAGGGATAAAACAAGGTAAACTGTTTTTGACTATGTTTAGTATAAACAGTTCTGAATATGCTTATGAGTTTCGTCCGATTCATTATTAGCAACACTGCAGGTTTTAATCGTCCTGAACAATATATTTTATCATTATTTCCATTTTAACGTGTTGTCTGTGTTATTTCCAATGGAAGCGTAAATGTGTTATTGTGATACGGGGCCTTTTTACTGTTTTTACTGGAACTTTGAGAATTATCTTTCAAGAAAGAAGTCATTAGTTAACGCTGCTGCTTTCTTGTGATACATTGTGATATGCATAATATGTATTTATTGTTGCTTGAACCTCACCTATAGAATTACTTTTTGTAAATTACCATCAGTAAATAACTGAAATATAATGATGTAATATAAAGTTACCACTTTTTGATCAGCTCTTCATCTCAGTAGACGTCAAAACGTAATGGATACTTCTCACTTCTCGCATTTATTTGCTTTCCATCCCGGTCCATCAGTACGGTATAATACGAGTAATCATTGGAAACAGAGCGCAAGGCAAAGAAAATGTAGTCTACAGATTTACTGCTGTATGTTTGTACTAGGTCATCTGCACCATTTAGTGTTAGCTAAAGTAGATAGGTCTTGAATGCCATGTCGAATATTTCACCCGCACATGCTGTGCTAAGTTCACACTAAGTTGAAACGTAGTAGTAGTAGTAGAATTAGCGGGGAGAAGAAACCTGACAACTAGACTACCTTCGTCTCTTTATGCTCACATGCTTATATACTGATACTGATCTGAACTGAACGAAACCATTGTCATTGATCATGAACCATTGATTATTACGTCTTCGAGCTGAAGATAGCAACCATATACTGTATTCCATTGCTCAAGAAGTGATCTGAAATATGCTAGCGCGATCTATCAGACAGCAGCATAGAACAGAAAAATAATTTTAGAAATCTGTTTTGAAAAGAGTTATGTCGGGTTCATGCACGACTTAAACTAACCGAACTTAAGGATCAGCTGTTTCTACACCAGTGTCCTCCACATGTTACGCCTCCAGATAGTAACTAGCTAGTGACTTCCAGTGGTGGTCAAACGTTTTGGTGACGTCACACCCATTTTTTGACATGATTCGGGTGGTTTCGGAACTCGTCTTACCCTTGGATAGCCCTTTCCATACTGTTCTATGCTCGTATTGACGTAATTATAATAATTCTGTGGTGTCCCGTGTTCCATGACGATTTACCCAGAAAGCCAGGCAGTGACTCATCTGTTGTTTTTGTTTGAGTTGTTGACGATTTTGTGGTAGAGATTTGTTTTGGTGTTCGTCTTCGGGTGTGTTTTTCTGCCTTTGACTTGTTTTTTGTGCGATTAATTGAGGATGGCCATGCCTAGAGCAAAATAACGAAAAGCCGCGGTGGTATCAACTCCTGACCTTGTTGAAGAGGTACCTGCAGAAGTCACCTGAACGCAATCGGACATCGCCAGAGGAGCGCCTAATGATGACGTTGCAGTAAGTATCCAAATCAGTTCATTTTTGCATAAATGACAAAATATATTGAGGTTATGGTCGTTTTCTTAATTTCAAGGTCACTTCTTAAATTAAAGTTCAATATATTGAACTTTTCCTTAAGAACCAACCAATCGGATCACTAGCGTTGGTCAGCTGATCGCTACAGCTGGAATTAGAAGATGGCTACCATCCATCGATACTGTACAAAAGTCGATAGTCGATATTTATATCGTGATGTTTGATCGATTTTATATCGCTGTATGGGCAGATGGTTCGGTGATACTTGTATGAAAAATTATTTGCGCTTGCTTACGCATGACAGTTTAGAGCTGAACATCGGGGCGGATTGATAAAAAAAAATCATGTATGTTAAAAATTATAATAATTAAAGTCAGTGGTCATGTTTCCTTCATAAATTAGATCAAAAAACAGCATGAAAAAAATACCAAGATAGAGGATTTTGAAATTATATTCTAGAGAACGAAAAAAAAAAATGGAAATGATCTTAAAATTTTGTCCTTGTAGTACTGACTTCATAGCTGATAGATGCAAACACTTTCATGTCTGAGACTATACCAGTGGTGATGTTGGCAAATTATAGCCCCTACAGAAGAAAAAAGAGAATTTAAATCTATACCATGCCCCCCATGACATGTTTTTCCAAAACCTCACAGAACACTGTGAAGGTACTTTGTCATTAACTACAAACCAGGTGTCCACCTGACGAATGCTGTGTATTCGCAGCCCACCAAATATGTAATCTCTTTTGACGTTTATTGAGGTAAACAGATTGAGTAGCACGTAACTTTTTTTGTGACATCTGTACTGTTGGTAATAACAAACCTGGTAAAGGGCCAAATTAAGGACTGGCGTTTGGTATCACCAATGAAAATTTTTTTTTTTAAACACAGAATTTTGGCAATCAAATGTATACTGCTAGATTGGGAATTTATACATATGTACAGAGCAGTATCATCTGAAGGGGCGTGGTGAGATGTCTATGTTTCTGTTTAGTGTTTGCTGACCAAATATGACAGTGATATTATGCTAATAATTTTTTTTTTGTTTCACAGTGTCAAAATCCTTCGAGGAGACAGTTGGAATGAAGATCGTCATTTATTTTATGGATACCAAATTAATTGTCAATGAGAGTTTGTTTCCTAGTTTGAAGAAACAATTACTGTTTTGTGTTTTTTTTTGTTGAGGACAATTTTGTTTGCCTTTACCCATTAAACAGTGTGCGCAAAACTATTTTTGATTCACATATCAGAGTGATTATATTTGTATTCCAGTCAGTCCTCTACCTGCAGATGTATTTTTTGTTATTTTAGTATTTATGTTTTTGCAATAAATATACCTGATCAATTAACAAGAGATAGTGCTTGCATGATATTGCACTGATCAGGTTCATAATATAGAGAAAAATCCAGATGAGTAGAATACCTCTATGTATGTACAATTTATTGTAATGAAGAGTTTGTTCTATTATTGCTGTGACTGTTCAGTAAATTTTTTTTTAATTATACATTTTTTTATTATCCTGAAATTCATTACTAGTCAAACTGATGAAAGAAATACTCCCTTTATTGAGGATGTGTTATGTATCTATGATCATCGAACTGCCTCAATATCGGTCGTCAGCCAGATTTCGTAATGTAAACAAATGAAATCGCCGACACATTCCTGACATTCCTGATATGCGTTGTCGGCATACTTTCAATATTTATAGTTCCACCAGATTTCCAGCCAAGAAAAGTGGCGCTGCCGTCGAGGTTATAGTCCAAGAAATATCTTCACATCTGCCCAGGAAAATATTCGGATTCGGGCTTTTTGCATGTTATTCGAAAAAGCCTCCTAATAACAAATCTACATGTTGTCAGGCTCCAAATTGCGTCTCTAATTGTTTGAACAACTTTTTCAAATAAATTACAAAAATTAATGTTTTCGCTTCATCAAAGGTAGCATTCGTTTTTTTGATACTCCGAAACAAAATGATGTTTGACAATGTTTGTCAAAAATTGATTTTGTACGAGATGGGAAAGTACAAAAAATTGATTTTGCGATACCGAAAAACGATCTGAAAAAACGAAAATGTTAATGTCGCCATGCTTCATAAATAACCATTAACGATACCTTTTAGGAGATACTGTTATTATAAATCTTTGTATTTAATTTATATGCAAGCGGACGCTCAATGCATATTCAGCGTGCACGAGAGATATTTCATCTCTCTCGCGTTCACATAGACATAAACTATACATTGAGCGCGCATTCAAATGCTCTGGGGGTTTTGTTATTGGTTGGTTGAAGCATGTGTGAGATTTGGCAACAAAATATTCATTTTTCATATTGTTTTTAGGGTAGCAAATGACATATTTTGAGTTTTTACATTGCTTATACCTGTATATATCAAGTCTAGAGAAAAGTTCCAAAGCTCATTTTTTATTTAGAATGTCCTAAAAACCGCAAAATACTTTAAACAAAGCGAACAAATCAATTTTGGGAATCGGTTTAATAACAATTTTTGGAGCAATTTTGGGCCTAGTCACATGCAGATTCTTTAAGAGGTCCTTGAATCAGATTATGCAAAAATAGGAATCGGAAGAGTTTTCCGAGCAGATGTTCCAATATTATCTGGACTATTATCCGAGTTCTGTGACCTGCATTGGCGCAAGCGTGTGGGGAGGGGCCACTTGTCAACGTCAAGGCTGGTCCGCCAGTCCACGTGACACATAAGCCACAAAACACTCTTTCATCTGCTACTTTGACGTTAAACATATGATTATTTAAGGGTATTTAACTTTCATGTTGCCTCAACTGCTACGTTGGCAATCCTGGCCGCGCATGCGCATGAAATGCTCATTTTCTTAAGTTAAGTTAGCTTAAATCGTGTATGAACCCACCATTAGTGTTTGGTTCTGTTTCTCAACTGAGCATTAAAAATGTCCCAAATAGAGCTGTTAGCGCCATCTATAACGCAGTAGCAGAACCAAATATTCTAACGGTCGCCCGGTCTACGGTTGCTTATCTTCAGGTAGAATATCTTAATCCAGGGCTGTCCAACATAATGTGGCCCAAGGGCCACTTAAAAAAAATGCAGTTTGGAGGGCCGCATTATAAAATCTTTCTATATAACATTATTACTGAGTTTGAAAGAATTGTGCATATTCGGTATTTGAGAGTAATTTATACATGTGATGTATACATGACCCGTGAAGCGGGCCGCAAGGAAGGAGTTCGCGGGCCGTATGTTGGACAGCCCTGTCTTAATCAATGACGAAGCATCGTGTTCAGAAACTTCAAAAGAGCACGATTACTGCTATGTAATCTTTGGAGCGAAAAGGTTTTAGGCGGAAGAGAAAAAAAAAACACAAATATCCCCTTGCTCTTGATGTACTCACGGGTTAAGTCCACTTGCAATTTGATATCAAAGTTGAAACGATCCGAGTGCTTCAGATATGGGAAAGGTTCCGGATCCTGAGGATAATTGTCTACCAAAAACGGTTCCAATGCCAGCGTGGTCACAACCCATGGAGATATCGAGGTACCCAGATTCTTGGCGGTAAATGGTCCAAGAGGTATGTATTCCCATTTCTGGATGTCTCTCGCTACAAAAAAGTAACAAATGGCATCAAGCAGATTGACTCTGTACTTCCCACACAATTCTGTCATCAGTTAGAATTTGAAATAGTTTTATAATGTAATTGAACTCATGTGACACCTGAAGCTTCTTATCACTTTATAACTCTGGAATATTATAAATTTACTATCCTACTATCCAAAATAGTGGACTAGCAGACTATCATACTTGATCGTTTTTGTAGATTGAATGGCTTAAATGCATGCAGTAATATGTTGTATCAAAGCTTCAAGTGCCATTTCTAGGAGAAATGATAGTACTTATATGCATGAATTTTATCTCGAATTTCAGCTTGCTAACTTGACCCGATCAAAAAATCAGTAGCGGACGCTTTCTGAAAAGTAATGTATAAAAAAACGTCTTACCACTCCAGTCGTTCATAATTACGAACCCAAACACGTGATCTTGTGCCTTATCTATGCTTATGGGTTCACCAAGCCTGTTAGATCCTCCTACAAAGAAAGCCATCTCCAGTTCAAAATCCATCAGTCTACAAGGTCCGAATACCGGAGGAGCATCTGCAAAAGATTAACGAAATTCAAAATCATCAGCTGATGTGGAATTTATTTTCGTATAGGCTAGAACTATCCGAGATTCCCCGGAATTGTCCTAGATCAGAGGGCGCCCGAGAGGAATCTTGTAAAATGGACTCGCATGATGAAAAATATGTTTTTTTATCCACCCCAGCGAAACGACTCGCATCACCCTGTGCAAGCACATTCACACAGCCCGGTACAACCAACCAGGCGACGCCATCGAAGTGCGCGTGCCTTGCAGATGATTTTTGGCCGTCTATAATTCTCATGTCAGCAAGACTTGGGTAATTAATTTCTTATGCAGTAAGCTTGTGGTTTGTTTGTACAGTGGTCGGTGAGTGTATCTAGGATTCGGCCGTATGAATTCCGCTTAGACAGAAGAATAAAAAAAATTGTGTGGCCGGATCTTGGACACGTTCACCGACAGGCTGCCGACTGCTCTTCGACAGTGAGGTCCATTTTTCTTAAAAATTCGTAAATAAATGTCTAAGAAGCTGTTTAAACTAATAAAAAATGAAAGTGACAACGAGTTTTTATTAATATTATTTATTAGCTGGGGTGTCCGGAGAAAATCTTAGTTTCACCCAAATATCCAAGCTTAAGTCCGGCGTCGGTAGGTCGGTAGTTTAGGTGATGGCAGTACCAGTACAAGCATGTAAAAAATATATTAAAAATAGAATATCTTACCATCCACGACCAAGGTCTGCCCATGTGGTCTGTGAATACTTGTTCCTGATACCACTACGGAACTGGCCCTCCCATGATACCCAACAGGCAGATATTTCCTAAAAAATGTATATTATTTAGGCTCACTTAGATCCTATTGTTAATAAATCACAAATAGCTAGAAAGTAATTGCATCTTTAATGTAGAAAATCTTCATTACCAGTTAGGCATCAGAGCGTTTTCTTTGCTCCTGAACATAATTCCAACATTTGTTGCGTGGTGTATTGACGAATAGAAATCCGTGTAGTCACCAATTTTGGCAGGAAGATGCATAGTGGCCTCTACTTGGGGTACCAGAGCCCTGAAATTACCATTAACAACTGTCAATTTTTCAATTGCGTCAATTTCTTAGGCTGCATAAATTAACACTAAAGCTGATAATAGTAAAATTAAACTAGTGGGGGCAAAAACAAATGAACTGCGACCTGTGACCGCTAGTCTCTGACAATTCCGGCGGTATAGTAGTCTGTCGCCTAGTTTGAAAGCCTGCTAAATTAACGGTACTATCTGATCGCAGAAAGTGTGAATAGCTCAAAACTAAAATTCCACAATCTGACTTGAGGGATCATGTATCATATCTGGTTCAACGTTACTTCCTGCAGAGTACCTATGGAGGTATGGAGATTCGGCGTTTTGACTTTTCTATTTTCTTGCTACTCCTGTCATTGGAAAGCATTAAGCCTCATAATATATGACTATTCCAAAGTAAACTTATTCAAGGAAGTTAAAAATGGCCTCCAAATTGCAATATAATCTATAATCATTCGTTCTGCAGATATTTTAGTCAAATCATTCTACAAAATTTTCTACTTGCTTAATTTTGCGTCCGAAATGAAAGATGCACAAAATATTTTTTTGTTTCGTAAAGGAGATCAGGCCGCTCTCCACGTATAAATGCATTGGGATCCAATTTTCGTTATTCTGAACAAAACTTGACTAGTTTCACGATACTGGAGGGCGAGTCATGACTTATATTGGGCTCAATTTTGTTACCTGAAAAGAACCTATGGAAGCAGCGGAGTTTGTCAGATCTCAAACTGCTAAGTCGAACAGTTCGCCCTAGAGGGTTTCGTAAAGAATGATGATCAATCTATCGCTCTTTGTGATTTAAATTTTGTTCTTGTGCCTCTATAACAACCTTATTTACCATTTTCTTATGATATAGGAGGTATATGCATATTATTAGAGATTGATCTAACTATATACATATATATACAGGGTGACTTCGAAGTTGAGTCATTTATTTTAACAGTGAGTAGATCTGATCAAAAGAAATGTTTTTTTCCTTTACCATTTTTCTGGTAAAATTAAAGTAACAAAGTTATAGCCCTTTGGAAGTTTGAGTACCGCCCTGTCTCAATAATACTATCATGTACTCGTGTTTGGCAACAACGGATATAATCCGCCTTACCGGTTCATCGCATCGGAAACAAAAAAGCGAAAGAATTTGGAACGACGTTTTTGCAATTAAGTGTTTTATTCAGTTCAGTTATACATACAGTCAGTATCTGTCGGTTAGCGTGTGAATAGTTTCTGTTGCGTGGCTCAAACGAAATAAAAAATGGCACATGTTTATGCGGATCGGTTTCCCAATCGAGTGCAACCAACCCCTCGTGCCTTTGTTAATGTAGTACAACGGGCTCGTGAATCAGGTGACTTAAGACCTCACAGGGGACCTCACGATCAAATACAGGTCCGCACTGAAATACTTGTCGGGAGGATACTTTATAAAACAAGGTAAACAATTTTTTTTAATTTTTTTTTTATTTTTACACACATTTGGTTTATCTTCCTTCTACAATCATTATCTGAAAATTAATGACTCAACTTCAAAGTCACCCTGTATATATATATAGCAAATTTTAAGAGGTATTCGCAAAAAATAATAGTTCCCAATACAGTGTGTCCATGTCCAAGGCCGGGTACAAGGCGAGCAATACAATTTTAGAAACGGTTAGAGCCACAATGTTGGTTAAATTAGGAAAAAGTTGCCAATGTAAATACTTTCCGCAAGCAGTTTTCAAAATGCAAATTTTCGAAATCAGATTCTTCTTCAAATAATTCAAAATTCAAAAATGGCAGACAAATTCTGAAAACTACACGCGAAAGATACACATTACGCCCGACTTTTTCCTTTTTTAACCAACATTGTAGCTCCAACCATTTTTGAAATCCAGTTCACCATCTTGGGCACACTGTATACTAAACTATTGGTTTTTCGTAAATACCTCTACACCTCCTCTATCAAGTCTAGCATGATGAATATGGCAAATTTTGAGCAAAAATATCGAAAAATGGTTATAAAGGCCTTCGCGACCAATTTAGAGGTCCAAGATCAAAATTTAACTCGTATAGAATGGGAAATAATGAAAAATTTCGAAAAAACTAATTTTGACTGAACTATCTGCTGAACAAATTATCATACTGCAATTTGGAGGTCATGCTTGACTTCCTTGGACAATTTTATTTCGGAATAGTCATACGTGCTTTCCAATGACAGTAGCAGTGAGAAAATGGAAAAGTGAGACTTTGAGCGCTTCTCCAGACCATGCATCATGCTTTCATAGGTACTCTCCAGGACAAAAATTGAGCGCGATCCGAGATATGACCCGCCAAACCAGGCCGTGGAGTTTTATAGTTTTGACCAATGTAATGTTATAGATTCGTTTCAAAACCTGCTAAACCGCCTGTAACACCATTGTTTAATATTTCAGGTTGGTTCGAAAATCCTCTGATCCCATAAGTTCAAAAACCTCTAATTCCATTTCGTAACAAAACGCGCTTAATCCATAGTATTCGGATGCATCCTATACACATGAGAAACAAAATCTGCTAAATCCAATTATTGTATGTCTTAGGACGGTTTTATAGTACGTGTTAGCATTTCACATGCATTACAATTTGACGGTCTATTCAACCAATCAAGGAAGATCTTATTGAAACGCAATTTGTTGGAAGCCTGTCAAATGGAATTAAACGAGACAAAAAGGTAGAGTACGTGTATAAATTGCGTGCAAGAATTCTGGGGAAAAAGATTCCGAAAAGTATATCTTATGTATTATGAAGATATTCTCACAAGATTCAGAAAGGTGGTGGAAGAAGACAGCGATGGTGGGGAAAATGAAGTGGAAGAGGTATGTGGGATAAGTGACGTTCAGGAAGCTGATATCGCTTGATGCTTTTTTTCTATTATCTTTTGCTTCAAATTGATGTCGCCAGAATGTAAACCTTGCAAGTGCATGTCAAATATTAGAGCAACATCCCTTAAATCCAAAACGATTTTAAAAAATTGCTAAATCCGAGGCAATTTTTCGATAACAAAATCTCAAACATTATGTTACCACATACAAATTTCTGCATATAAGAACTCTCATTTCCTCATTTTGTTGGCCAGTAGCAAACTTTTACGTTTCCTGAAAACTGTCCTAAAGGGGATTTCATATATCATTGTAATTTTAAGCAGTTTGAATTGATCTGAACATTATAATGTCATGACTTGCATGAGCTTCATATCCAATTTTTCTATGATCTACGAGTATAACTCACACAAGACTGGTATGCGTATATGTCAATTTACTCTTTGTTTTACCTGGACAATAAAGCCTTATCATTCTGCAGTGTTGGATTTTCTACGGAGAGTAAGCTTTGTATTGTACTTCTAGCTTCCTTCCAATGGTCTGGTGTCAAAGCCATGAAAGCATTAAGGGTACTCTAAAACAACATTATTAGTTTATTTGTTTAGACAGCCACAACTAATGCCGTATTCGCGCATCCATTGTTAGGGTTAGTGTCCCATAGATGGCTGTAGTTATCTATAATATGATTGTGTATGCTTGTACAGGCAGCGCCATTTATGAGACAGTAACCTTTTCAAGGTTACATAGTAAATAGAGAAACAGTTGTGACAAATTATCATAGATGGCGCTACGGTTTCTCATTTTATCTCGAACATTTTTTTGGATGTGCGAATATAGCCAACCTAAGGACTATCTTCGCAGGTATAATACATTAATCATTGGTTTATGGAATATTGGAGGTCATCCACCATAACCATTATGTTTTACTACTCACAAACCGGTTTTTTAATACCAGCCACGTGTTGAATTCACGAGTGATAAAACTCTGTACTTAGTCACAGTGACTGAGAGAAAGGATCAAATATCAGGTATAAACCATAATCATTGTTAAATAGTTTCAAGCAATTAGTCAATATATTGATCGACAGTTTCAACCCTGGTTTCATTTGCAGTTGAATTATTAAAAGATGCAATTATATGTGATATTTCAAAGGCATTCATCGCACGATCGTCACTTGAATTTTATATATAGGTTTAAATGTCTGAAGAACTAACCTCTTTGAAAACATGTTGATGCTGTTTCATGTAGGGGCCATTGAATAGATGTGCTATTTCATACAAGTCCAAAATAGAATCTGCTATCGCTACCCCTATCCTTGGCGTTTGCTGGAAAAATTAAGACATACCAGTAATTTACCGCATTTCTTCGAGGGCGTGAGATAATGCTGGTTTTCGAGATATGAATAGCAAAAATGGTTCAAGTAGGTTGACTTGGCACTTCTCACGCAACGCAGTCATTAGCTCACAAAGAAACCCGACTATGCTGACGAAAAAAGTACGAACAGCTGTCCATGGTTGACTGTCTTTGGTCGAACGTACGAAAGCAGCACGTTAAAGTAAAATAAGAAAGAAAAAAAATAGTTACGAACATGTATAACATTCTTTCTATGCTCTACTCCTAGCGCCGTCCATCTGAAACCTCTACTGTCATCAGACGCGGCAGCGCGACACAGCGCTAGTGTTGCGAGGGCACCTTTGAAGAGTGGCATGCCAGTCGGTGAAGCTAGAGAGCAGACGTACGGACGCGTGTCGATAATATTTCTCATTCTAAGTTTTGAAGGAAAAATCTATGATGTATGAAGAATTACTCTCCCTCATCCCCCACAATCTCCCACCCCCCAATCTTTTACTTCTAAAAAGGATTTTAGAAATGGTCGGGATCCTCTGAATCGTCAAAAAACGAAGTTTGAGTGATTTTGTTATTTTATGTTATAATTTTGATTTGCGGACAGACCGACGGAAAGGAGTGATATGGTTTTCCGTGATGTACCTACAAGTCATATAACATCCAAAATGTCAACATTATCGAAATTTTCCGCGTTTACAATACTTCGTTGGAAGTAAAAAACTATCTGAGACACGTGTGAGACTACAATCGACTTCCATAGTTTATACTAAAGCTAATACAAACATGAATGCAAAAATAATACACACAATCAGATTATTGCCATTTCGAAAAATAAAATCACTTTAATTTCGAGTATTCTTTATAAAAAAACTATATTTAGATTTGAAAACTGTTAAGCCCCAGAGCGAACAAATTTCTTAAAAACCGTATTCCTGTCCGTATGATCAACTTTCCAAAAAAGGTAGTAATAAACATTAGTATGGAAGTGTTTAGATCAAACGATAATTTAAATTAACCAAATGATATTTTTCACAAATCTTGGTCAATATGATCCTCTGAACTTTAGAGTAACAGTTCATAAGAATCTTTGTTGTTCAGAATGACCCAAATAAAATTAAAAAAAAATCTGTCTAGAGCGTAAAACTCCCATTTTTGGAATTTGGGCAAAAAACAATTTTTGGCGCAATTTTGGGTCTGGCAGATTCGTTAGGTTGAAACCTAAATACCGGGACACCATGACTGCTATAAGGAACTTAAAAGCACCTTGTTTATCCGACTTTTGAACTGCATACAGTTAGCAGAAAACCTCAGGCAGACTGTTGCCTTCCTAAGGACAAAGGAGCGATCGCACCGGTCAGTTCTCGATGTGCGAAGTTCGGAAGAGTTGGAATGGGAGGTAGAAGTCTGGCGGGTCCGTCTGGCTGGCTCGACGCGCGAGGGCTTCATACAGGAGAGCTCTGGGTAGCAAAGCCTGTTGATATTGCGGTAGAAGATCGCCAACCGCATGTCAGTGCGAAAGGGTCCCGAGACTGTCAGTTAGAGGATTGTCATTGATCAGTCAAACATCCCTCTTCTGAACATCAACGTGTATAGAGTATGCAGTCGGGGTGGTGGAACCCATACATGTGAGCAGTACTCTAGGCTAGCTCTTATCTGTGCCTTGTGCAGAGTGAGGCAGTTGTTCAGAGACAAGCACTTCCTAACCCTAATCAAGTAGCCTATCTTTTTACTGGCTGCTGTTGCGGTTGACCAAGTACTCGGCGATATGGGCTCCGACCAGCCGTAATAAATGGCTCTTTTAAAGCAAGATAATGCAAATGAAAGAACTAGACGCGATAATACTTTCTGGATTAATTGTACCTTAAACAATTGAAACGTAGTCTACTTTACATGCAGCAAAGTTATATTACACATAGAGTTGAAAAGGTTAACATATTATAATGCTATTCAATGCTGACGCCTATAATTGAATATTTGACCTTACTATGTTCGATATTCAAGATGTAAAACTTAATTCACAATAGCATCAGATGAATATTCCAGCGTCATTATGAAACATACTCACCTGTTCCTTTGTAGAAAACACTCCGTAAGGCAGATTTTGAATGGGAAAGTCACAGTACTTGCTGTATTTCAAAAAACACTTCATTTTAACAAAATATTCGTTGAACGTTTAACGAATAGTCTTCACTATAGTGCGTTAGCTTGTGAACTGGTTACAAGGTCTATCAGAACGTTGTTATCTGAATTAATAAACCGGGTTATTTGTATAAATACATATTTAAAATCCTGTGAAACAGGTAGTTCGAGGATATAGGAAAATAAAATCACATCCAAAGAAATGTCTATAGAAAAGAGCTTGAACCGAACGAAATTGAAACATATGAGTGACGGTTTGAAGGACAGCACACATTTATTTGTTTTGACTGGACATACATGAGTTCGTCTTATACTCGTATTACGTAAGCATGAGATAACTCGGCGATTATGTACACTGACAGTCAAAGGTAATAAGGTAATGCAGCATCAATAAACATATAAAATATATATGTTATTATTGTTCATAAAGTGGTTTTGTTTGAGCATTTATAAATATGCCTGGTCACAAGATAATGCTGGGGGTAATGATAGATTTAAATAATGCTGGTTTTGAGATAAACCATGTTGTTTACAGTTTTGAGTCTGTAAAAAAAACGTTTTATAGTTCAGGTTAAATAATTTCATGAACAAAACAATGGTATTGGAATTTAGTTTTAATATTTGGACCATTTAGGCTTAGGAAGTATACAGGACGTTCTATTGTAAAATTGGTGGGAGCCATTCCGCTAAAATATTTTCAAAATGGTGACACTTTTGCTCATATCGACAATAGATGAATGAATATTATATTATTTGGGTTTTCAGTGTCAACTAAGACAAATAGCTTTTGTTTTGTTCTCATATTCATTGTGTCACAAGACTATAATGTATTGTGTGATGCATATTTGACAGGGTCAGTTAATATTTTTATTTTGACATCTTTTATAATGTACCTTAAACGAGATATAAATACCATTTGCTAAGTAAAATCAATATTTATTTATAAAAAATAACAAGCCTTCACTTCCATCGGCCTTCAAACAACATAATCGTACGGATTGAGTGCTCACATATCCTCAGAGTAACGGTTTTATTGTAAAGGAATGACCAAAAGTAGAAAAAGATGAAGAGCAGAAAAAACAATTGGCATGAAAACTGCCAGAAAAGTGACGCCCGGGCAGCGACAAAAACGTACATGACCTCTAAAAACATTAAGACACATTAATTATTACATTATTGTATTATTCATCACTTTTGTATTCAAGTATCGTTGTTTTTTACATAGTTGCAGTAATGTTCCATTGAGTTCACAAAAGGGTATCTGCCATCACAACGTGAGCAACTGACGCGTTTCTGGTTTCAGTATGCGAAATCGTGCCAGTTTCAATTTATCATTTCTTAATTGGCTACCTATTGATCAATGTCAAATCGCAAAATTGACATATTTACACGAAAACATGAAGACACAATTTTCAGGAACCATTTAAATACGCGTTTTTGAGCGCTTGTACGAATTTTGTCTTTTTTACCATTAGTTAATCCCAGTTGACCATGGCGGGTCCTGAGATCAGTTCTTCGCAAGGCTGAGGACAAATTACTGGCAGTTACTGGCAAACAGGGAAAGCCTAGAATATGTCTACTAAGAACCCCGATAGCATGAAATATTCATTAAATATTCATTCAATACTTAAGAATATGTCCATCTTACTTAAATATTCGTTATCCTTGACAAATATTTAATAAATATTTGGATTATAATATTTTATTAAATATTTATTCAATATCTATGAAATATAAATACAATGTTTCTTTTATAATGTTCATTAAATATTTATCTTTCAATCAATGGAAAAATTTAAAAATATTTATTAATTGCATAAACATTACTTTTAATTAATGGAAAATATAAACCGCTTATTCACAAAATATTGAACAAACGGCTGTTGACAGATAAACATTGTGTGGACTTTTGACATATCCATGTATACCCTATGTATCTATACCTAACAATGAGATGACAATAATAATATTGTATGTTTTTGGAGCCGGTGTAGCAAAAGCAAGTGTAAGAATATAATTATCCATATTAATTTATAATTAACCATTTTGCCTGTATGTTTGACTAACCTAGCGCGCTTTCTGTGTACCTCCAAGTAGGTAGTACATTATTTGAGTGTTTTTTTTTGTGGAAAAGGTTACGTTTTGCGATAAATACATAGCTTGAATTATCTGACTAGTAAATATTATTGTGACAACTTGATTGATATATACTAAGTGACATATAAATCCGAACACCCAGTTTAAATGGTTTTATTTTAATAAAAGTTGGTGAATGTATTTATCTTACTGTAAATAACAAGTGAAAAAAATTTCAGCCTTATCAGTTGGACATTCCGGTTTTTTAACTGCTTTTTTTAATTCACTAACGCTCTAAAAATGAATATTTCAGCCGCAGTAAAGAATCAACGTTGGCGGATTTTGGTTCTTGACATCCTTTACGATCGGTTACGATCCCTAGAGTACGGAGACCTGTACGATTTCGTCAACTTAGTGAGTTTGATAGGGGCCGTATAGTGGGACTTCGGGAAGCTGCACTTTCTTTTCGGGCAATTGCAATTAGAGTGCAAAGAAGTGTAGACACTGTGGTTAGGTGTTGTCAGGCATGGCTTCGAGAAGGCCGTACGCAAAGAGCAACGGGCACTGGACGCTGCCGTAGAACAACAGACCATGAAGATCGCCGCCTAAGATTATTGGCCTTAAGGGACCGTTTCTCCACTACCAGGTCCATTGCAAATGAATGGTTTGCAGAACACGGAAGACCTATTGGCATGCGAAGTGTTTACCGACGAATGAGAAGTTTTGGCTTGCTTTCATACCGGCCACACTGGGTCCTCCCTTTAACTCGAGAACACCGACATAATCGCCTTGAGTGGTGCAGACAACGGTCACTCTGGGATCAGGAATGGAACAGTATTGTCTTTAGTGACGAGTCTCGATTTTGTTTAGGCATGCACGATGGTCGTGCCAGGGTTAGAAGGCGACGTGGTGAAAGGAGGAATCCACAGTTTTTTGTTGAAAGACATGTTCATCACACTGTTGGAGTTATGGTTTGGGGTGCTGTAGCTTATGGTTCCAGGTCACCTTTAATCTTCATCAGAGGTAACATGAACGCGCAGCGTTATATCCACGAACTTCTAGAACCCCATCTTTTACCCTATCTTGACACCCTGGCAGATCCAACTTTCCAACAAGATAATGCCCGACCACATGTTGCAAGAGTCACAATAGACTTCTTTCAACATAATGATGTCACATTGTTACCATGGCCACCAAGATCTCCCGACTTATCCCCAATTGAGCACGTGTGGGATATGATGAGTAGGAGATTGCTCAATTTGCAACGTCCTCCTCAGACTCTAGAAGCACTTCGAGAGGAGTTGGTGGTTGCCTGGAATGAGATACCACAGGAGGACATTGACCACCTGATCAGAAGCATGCCTAGGCACGTTGGAGAATGCGTAGCACATCAGGGTGCATCCACACATTATTAAAGGTCAACGGGCTTTAAAGCAGTGCAATCATTTTGAAATTTTTGTCATTTACTTATTATGCTTCATTAAGTACTTATACAAAATTTTATTAAAATAAAACCATTTAAACTGGGTGTTCGGATTTATATGTCACTTAGTATACATTAAAAATGTTATTTTTTAAATATCTCTATTATCATTTAATGATATTTTACTGAAAGACCGAGGTATTCTAGTATTTTTGTCGTAGTATGGGGCAAATCAGCTATTTAAATATTTTTAAGTTCAACAATTTCAACTGTCCAAAATACCATATTTTTGTCCCTTGAATTATAATATGAAATCATAATATAGGTATGGCTAACTATTAGACCCCCTACTACAGGAAAATCAATAAGTGGTCTATTTTTAAAACCCCTTTTTTTGAAAGCTAGTCAAAGGATCAAGTTGTGCCCATGGACATTTTTCATATACACCTTCTAGAGCAGTTTGTGAGAATATCTCTCTCAAACAAAGGCAACTTATGTATCCAATAATACTGTATAATTAGTATTTTTTTCAGAGGAGTGGATTTGCAAGATGTAGAAGAGGCTTATAATGTTTGTTAATGATACTTGGCTAGCAAATTAAACCATTGTATCTAGCATAAATTTTCTTTATAATTTTATAAAAGCATTCCTACAGATTTTGAAAAAATAACCAGTGAAGAACTTCCTATACACACTTCTTAAATATTTTCGAAAAATATTAAATATTTGAACAAAATATAAAACTGATATCTAAAAATCTTTCCTCATATATTTTCTAAATATATGGGAAAATATCGGAAAAATATATAAATTATATATACACAAATATCTACAAGTATAATATTTTATAAATATATAAAAAATATATTTATTAAATATTGAAAAATCTGTCGCTACAAATATTTAATGAACAGTTTTTTTGTTTTAACCATGACAAATGATAAGTGAAGATTTAACGATGTTCTGAGACAATTCTCAGGACATCGTTAAATCGTCAATACGTTCCCTCAACTGTTTGTGAGAATTTAAAATTTGAAATGAAAAATAAACATACTTCTTTTTAGTTCATGTTTCTCTATCTACTTAACTTACTTTAGGCGCAATACTCGTGAATAGGTAGTACGTATGTAATCATACGGACCACAACCAATCTCTACTAAGCCGGCATGGTTTATGCGAAGGAGGTGGATTTTTGGAAGTAATTCCTGTAGATTGTCAAAAACCGTGAAAAGCCCTATATGTATGAACATATATAGGTACATAAATAGTATGCCATGGTAACGTGGACAATACTGATACCAACCGCTCCTATTTGTGAATGTTTAAATGTAGAAATGGAATAGGAAACGTAGAAATGATAAAAAACCACCCGACGCCCACAAAGCACAAACATGAGACGACAAGAGAGAAGCAAAATAAGAAAAAACTGACAAATGCACAGATCACAGAATAAGTAAGAAGTTAAAAGAGAACCGAATACCAGGGATGTATGGACCGTGGTCAGCTCGGCTTCATGTTACTACTGACATACTAATACTACAAAAATTTAGAGACATTGAAATCTGTTGATATTCCTGGCAAATTCCTGGCAAGCATGCATTCCTGGCAATACAAGAATACGAGTATATCATTGTTGTCAGAAGTGAAGGTTTCGAGGCTTAGCATGCGTGCTCTTTTTCTACTTATTATTATATTTGAAATATTTCCAGATTTTTTTACCGAAAAAGCAATGGAACCAAAAATTAAGCTAAAAAAATAAGTTCTACGGCACACGAGGGACGTAGATTTGGGTTGTCTATAATTATGTACGCTTACTTCCCTTCCCCCGTATTGATTTTTGTGCGTACTACAGTTACACACTGGTAAATCAACATTACCGCATCACCGGACAAGCATAAAGAAAGCAAAGTTCGTATGTTCTTAATTAAGAATTAAATCAAAATTGCAGGTGATGAAGTTCCAAGTTCCGGGATAAAGCGGAAAAACATTGACAAATAATATAAACAAGAATGTGAAAAGGACTTCCAAAGATGGTTGGTAAGGAGTTTGAAGAGCGACCAGCATGCTCATTGCACAAGATACAATGAGGGGCTTATATTTTTTCAGAAAAAAACTTCTAAAATACATTTTTTTCCTCCTACCAAGTTTGTCTTTGAATCTACCGAATTTCAACTGACATCTTTTTCGGTTCGGTAACAGTGGCTGGTCTTTACTTTAAATACCTCTTGGACCCTCAAATATCTATTTTGTCTCATTTGTTCCTTCTTAATTTAACATATATGCTCTAGAGTAGTCTTTGTGAAAAATGACAGTCCGACGGTGTTACTGAATATGACGAAGCTTCTAAGATGCGTATAGCATTATAATTTTCAAAACTGCATATTAATGAAAGTCTGGTCTGTAATATTTTACATCTTTATTACATATGTTCCCAATATACATATTTAACACAATATATCGCATTTTTTCTAAGTACTTTTCGATGCTTTAGAAGCTTATTCTGTTTTCTACATTTTTATGCAATTTTCAATGAGTTTATTTTTAACAACCATTTACGTTTTAACTCATTACGATGCTAGGATCGTAATGAATTAAAAATTTATATTAAAATATACATTCATATATATTCAAGGATTACTATGCAGTCCCAGTGCCAAGAACCAATAATATATATAGCGCCTGGCCGAAAAACAATAAATGGATTCTCAAAAATTTTGGTAGTAAGTGAAGAAATATCTTGTTCGTATTTAGAATTAAATAGCAATGCTTTGAAATAAACTAAACCCAAAATACCCTTCGGGGTCTGGCAGAGGAAGGTTTGAACTACAATTGAGATACTTGGCTACCTCCGAAAAAATAATTTTCAACTGAGTTTTTAAGCATTGAGCATGTCCATTTTCAGGGTTTTTCAGACTTCAAATCGCTTATAACTCGGAGACGGTCAACTAGAGGAAAGGTACATAGACCTTTTCATTCGAATAAAATTTGCTTAAATTTGTCTGACAGTCAGTAGATTCATCTTAATGAACGTGCCAATATAAAAAAGATCGAGTCGGCTGCTTCAATCTAAAAGAGGAGTTGGACGATTATGTAGATATGAAAATTACTTAAAACTCAAATGAGAATTATTCTTTAAAAATGAGGTTCTTATCTCGATAATTAGTATGCTGATTCTTGGCAGGTACTGGCTCAGTTAACAACATTTATATTGCTAAAGGTATTTGTGCAATAATCTAAATACATATAATATGCTACAGCAAATAATACATTAGCATAACATGTGCCTATATAAAATGGAAGACGTCAATGATTTTGCTGTTTGTGGAAGATGCTTTTTTACCACCCGAAAAATGATGGTCTTGAGCAATCTCGTTCACCGCGAAAAAGAAATTGAAAAACTTAATTACTAAACTAAATTAATACATATTTGTTCACAAGTTTAAGTACAAGGAATATGAACCTCATATCGCTAGTAACCCGTAGAGAAAAGTACCCTGAAGTACATTGAGTGCGCGTTCCCTAAAACTCCGTTATTGCCAAGTGTAAATAGTAGCTCAAGCATCTACCACTCGGTAGTCGAACGCAACCGTCACATCTTACTTCTTCTTCCACCATTTTGTTTGGATTTGTGGAAGACCTTTTGACACACTGCTGCAATTTTCATTACTGTTGTTGGTATTGGCCTACATATTTATTCAAGTAGCCGGACTAGAGTAAGAGGTTAGCATTCACGTCTAATTGCTACTGTGATCAATGTGGACTTATTGAGGCCTCACATATATACTGTCTAAGGTAGCGTTGATCCTCTAATCAGATTCCATAGCCTTGACACAGGGCTTTGCAAGTAGCTTTTCGCTGTTGGATTCCTAATTCCAAATAACCGAAACCTTCGCCTTGCCAGGTTTACGCTGTGACAAAAGAGATGTACTGGGGCTTCCTCATGCTCTCTGCAGAACGGATACGTGCCAAACTCAAGAACCTCATATGTCGATTTTGACGATTCTGTCCTGTTAGGAGACTCACGTTGGCCCTTATGAACCCTTTTTCATGCGTTTGCCCTATCAGGCTGTTCCACCATCCTAGGGATTTTTCTGGGTCCAATCCTTTAGGCACTACTTAATGCGTGTTTTCGTTATGCCACAGAAAAGCTCTGTATCTACAAGGCGATTCGCCGCATTGAAGTTTTGAAATATTTGAGAATTGAAAATCTGTTAGTGCAAATGTAACTTGAGGGTAAGTTATTATCCGTTTAAGCTCCGGGGATTGATCAACTCTCAATTAGAACTCAGCCCTCAAGGGTCGATTTAATTGTGGGTCTTTTGTTGCTCCTTTGCGCAGATTTGTATGGATGTTAGTTCACTCTGAAATATTGTTGCTATGTTATTTAGATTTACAGAGATCTAGAGATCTTGGTTTTGAAATGGTCCCATAAATTCCTGCTACAACCCCGTCTTCAATTTTCAAGTTTAGCTTCTGACCCTAGCTTCATGGTTATCGTGAAATTGGATGTTAGACTGAACAAAATCATAATCGTTGAAAGATAATTTTAGAAGTGGTCCAATTTTAACACCTATTATTCAACTCAAGGGAATCAAAGGTTTCTTGAAAACATTTTCTTGATTAGGTTCATCCACGATTTATGAACGTTTAAAGTACCTACATGTATACTTTCAATAGATACGATAAGCTATTTTCCATATTTTTGTTTAATTTAGTTCAATAATGTAATGAGGGTCCCTTTTTGGGCACTTTTCTTCTACCAGTGGGTCTACCATTTCACCAAATTATGCAGATTGCTGTGGGTAATGAAAGACCTCAACAATACCAACTATAAACTTTTCTCTGCATCTCAAAACTGTAAACCGTATATAAATCTGTATTTTTTTAATAAACTATCACCATCTCTGACGGAACATTTCAACATGATTTAAGTTGTTGCCTCGTAACCAGACAAACTGCAGAAATAATGCTATTGGGCTGAGTCTGGACGTCTCGTGGATTCGTACATTTTGAAAGAAATATCCAGAAATATTTACAGTAGATACAGGTCTCAATGTCTGAGTAACGCTATTCTCCAGAGTGCTTTTAGAGAATTTACCACTATTTCCAATGTATCTCTGAGCTACCTAGTCATGATCGGTGTAAGTGAAAACTAGTTTTATGTCCCTATCGTTCAATTTTTCAGCATTTTCGAATTAAAAAATGTTTCTTTACTTACGTTAACTAAAAGATAGATATAACGAATCTTCTGGTTATGGGGCAACATTTCTTCTGGAAGCCGTTTTTGATTTTTTGTACATGCAACGAACTGTGGCTAAAAATATTATATGGATTGTTAGGATTTATTATCGACTACACATTTATATACATATTATATACTTCAGCAAATAACTTCAATATACCTTTCATAACGCATATATAGTATAATAAAGCACCCATAGTTCTGGAAGGTCACAAAAACTCTTAAATGCTACATTTAAGCAGTAAAATAATTTCTCGAAATATCAACAGAAATACTTTTATACACATTATTGCGTTAGCTACACATTTTTGACATTTATTAGAAATATACGCTACATTTATTTTTATACAGTGTGTCACCAAAATCGTGAGCTTAATGTTTACAGCATCTAAAATCTTGCGGATATTAGACAAATATTTGTGCTTCTGGATATTAATTATGAAGACTAGAGATAGAGGGTTAAACTCGTGGAGTGGGAGTGAAGATAAAAACGTCGCCGATGAAGTGAGTTGGTATACTGCTTAGCAAAAAAATTTCAGGTGCTGCGAATAGGGCATCTCTCGCTGGTATACTGAGCAGAAAACGAATTACAGGTTATGCGTTTCGGACATCTCTCCCTGCCGTCAAGCAACTTCAATTTTGACGATCCATATTGGATAATATTAATAAACTGCGAAGTAATAAACCTACAAAGCATGACAAAACGTAGGTAAAATGCACATCAAGGTAGTGGCATGCTGTGTTGACACATTCCGAGCGAGAGCGACACCACCCTTGGTGACAGGATTTGATTCATATGAATACATGTATCCCTTACGCAGTTTAACCTCCTATCTCCAACAATTTCAATTCCAAATTGATAATTTTCTTTTGATCTGACGACGAAATATTTGCACTTTAGCCACCAAGAGACCACACCTTCATTCCAATATCAGTGTAGATTCAGTCTCCCCCACACCCTCAATTTGCAGCCAGCGAATAGGTATACAGGTATGTTTAGAGTTTCTAGTAGGTTAAAGATATTCGACCATTGATTAGCGTATTCTACTTGAAGATAGCCAACCTAATACTATACTTACCCGTCCGAAAAACTTTCAGAGATGAAATGAGATACCATAGCGTCATCTATGGGAATTTCTCAGAGATACGTTTCTCCTATCCGCAATAATTAGAAATCCACTTTGAGAAGGTCAGTGTCTCATAGATGGCGCTGTAGCTATATATTTATTTATAGTTAGCTAAAGGGCCTTCTATGAGACGCTAACCTTATCAAAGTAGATTTCTAATTCAAATTATAGATGACGCTACGATACGTCATTTCATGTCGGGTAATTTTTTGGACGCGAGAAGATATCTAGGATTATTAGATTGACTATCTTTAGGTAGAATATGTTAATTAATGGAAAAAAATAATAGGAAACTAAGGAACAGAGAGGGCAGAGAGAAAGAAACATCTTGCAGGTAAAAATCTGAATTGATATTCAGCTCACCAGTTTCGTAGCATACCATTTTGTGTGATATATGAATTTTATACATATTAGGATATATTAACAATGAGAATGTCAACAAATATAAAGATCGCTATGCCTATACAATATCACAAAATGTATCGTGGCATTGTCTGTATTCCATTCACTGCTTTGGCTTACACAACAGGTTTCTAAGATTTTTGCATAACTAGAAACTATTTAATGTAGGGAAACGTGTTTGGAGAATTAGAATACAGACTGGCTTAGCATCAGCGACTGGATTTTCTCTCAAGTTTAGATATATTTTTTTCAAGATAATTTACGTAAGTACATTTTGTTACCCGTAGAATACGAAAACTTCAACTTCACTTAGCTAAACTAGCACGCAGACTAAGTAACTTGAAATAAAGATTACTTACTTCACTTGCCAATTTTATTTTTGATATGTTTGTATACAGATTTCTTGATTTTCCTTTCGAAGGCTTATCTTATTCAAGCCTATAGTTGTCACCAGAATCTTTTATATATCATCTGAAACTTTTCTTGTGGTTTACATGCCGGTAATCCCCCATGCTTGTCTGTCCACATGTATTTATAGACCTTCTTTACTGTCAATTTCTTCAGTACAATGACATATAGGGTGTAAACGTTATGATAGTCATTATTTAAATGGGTGATAGAGGATGTTAAAAGAAGCAAAAAGTTTCGTATAACATGGGGTTCAAAACGGCATTTTTTTGGAGAAAAACGACTTTAAACTAAAATAAATCTGACAACGCCGCAAAACTATGCAAAAGGATAACTAACCACTGTTACCGTTTGCGATCGATTGCCAGTTCAATAAGAATGATGATGACCGACGTGCAGTTGTCAAGTGTGTTTTAAATAGTCAATTTAATCAAACTTGCTTTCTTACTGTCTACAAATTTTGGCTTAACTTGAAATAACTTAATGCCATATATTTGTTAATTACCCAATTTAAAAAAGTTTTAGACTAGATTATAAAAATCAGTAAGATTGTGGTAATTGTGGTCGATATAAAGCACTTAAAGTTGTAAAATATAAAGCCATTTATACAAAAATCTATTGACTTTTGGACCATGGGTCATATGAACTTTTTTACTTATTTTGACCCCCCGTATTACCCATTTCAATAACGTTTACACCCTGTATAAGTTAAATCAAATATTTGTCATTGTACTGAAGATCATCTTTCTGAATGAAGCGGTTACTACAGTAAAGAAGATCTGTCAATACATGTGGTTTTAATGGCCAGACAGGTATGGGGGATTATCATCAATATTTTTATTACAGACTTTAGACTATTCCATGACTGAAAATCTATGACTTGTCTATTTTTTGCGTATGCTTACTGTGTCTTCCATTAAAAATTATCACGTCTGATAAATATCAAGGACAAACGACACAATTTGTGTATTATGTTCATATTCGTGAAGTATTTTTCGGCTATAAAACTTGCGATTACAATATTGTACTAGCATATTAATTGACGATTGTTATTTCTTCAAAGTCAATAACGAATGACTTCATTAAATCAAATAATTGACTACTTGCACACAATTTTCTACTTCTTTTTAGGAGTTGTTAGTGTTTTATTTATACCTTGAAATTCCTCCTATCTAAATGAAATAAACTTCATACTCCGATCCAATCTCAAAAATAAGAATTCGAAAAAGAAGGACTTCTTTAAGCAGCTTGGCTCTGTATGCCGCCATAACAAAAATCTATTATAATATCTAAACTACCTCTCAAATATAATGTTAAAAACCAAATGCTCTTGAAGTCTTCAGACCAGTCATCTTGTCCCATCCTAGTGTCTTGTCAATTAACCACTTTTTTCTATACATCAACAATATCGTTTACAGAAAAAATACTATAGCAAAGACAAATGTATGCTCTTAGTCACATAACTCATATCTAAATCTCTATCAGGTATTAAACTATATCAATAACAATAACAACATGTATGAGCGTGGGTTTGAGAGAATATACAGTAGCGTCTATAATGTCTTGGCATCTGAATTGAAAAAACTAACACTTAGATAATGAGAGATATCCGACATTCGCCTCTTTTAGTCAAGTACCTTTTTATTAAACACGCCAATGCAATGTTGATGAATGCTTGTGTTTGTCAATGACACTTGTTCTCAGGAGTGAGGTTTTTTACAAACTTATAGTAGATAGAATGTAAACATCTATACTGTCGATACGAATGTAGTGTTAGAGATTATTGTGATTTTCAGTGCTCACTCAGTAATGGATGATCACTCTTTCCAAAGTGTTATTGCTATATAGTCCTGCAAAAGTGACTTCTATAGTTCCTACCGTTGTATGTACCGCAGGAATTCAGATGACAGAAGCGAATACCTTACCTCAATAATTGAAAATAACGAAACCAAGAAATCCAACTACATCTAGTGGCCGTTAAGAATTCAACATTTTACAAATCGTTACCCAACCGATCCATTTCGTTCAAAAGGAAATCAACGTCTTCTTGAGTGACGGCAGCTGACGAAATGATGTTCCTGAAGAAATTGGGACGTCTGTCGTCGGGTTGATAACCGACCATCAATGTGCCTTCTTGCATCATTCTGGCTTTTAGGACTGGACACATCTAACAAAATTAAGCACGTTATCAACATAGAGATATGCATATTCGAAATCTGTTTATTGGTACTTAAAAGTAATGGTACACATGAAAGTTAGTGATGTGTATCTTGCGAACGAACTAGTTCAAACGAACGATTCTTATGACAGAACTGAATGACTAGTTTATCACTTCGATTAGCATAAGGTGAAATGCGTTATTATACTGACATCAAAAAATTGCCCCCATAATCCTTGCCCCCTAATTTTTTACCTCTAAAAATAATTTCAGAAATGTTCGGGTTACTCCGAAACGCAAAAAGAAAGTTTTTGGCATTTTTCACTGCCGCCACTAGATCGATTGTAAAAAACTACAAAGCTACACAGCAAAACTACAAAATTTCATCCAAATCGGAGCCGTACCTCGAGTTGCAGATGGCCCATGGATCAGGGGACAGACAGACAGGCCGACGATATAATGAGTGACATGGTTTTTCGTTATGTACATAACATCGATAAATAATGTCACATTTTCAAAAAAAAATGCGATTAGCCGTGGGAAGTAAAAGGATGAAAATTGATAACAATTTAATACCTTTCCAAGTTCCTGTTCCCGCTGTGCGGAATGCGGTACGTTTCTCAACCTTTTAGGGATGTACCAGAAGCTCACATTAACCATTTCGGGTTCCATGATGAGATAGAATTTGTCCGGTTGCTCTTTTATTCTCTTAACCATGTATTCTGACAGCTCCATCAGCCTGTCCATGTGCTTCTCGAAACCGTCATCTCCCTGTAAAATAATCACCAAAATAATTTATAAACTAACTAGCAATATAACTCTCTTTCATCCGACTACAGACGGTCAACCATGAACAGCTGTTTCGTGTGCTATTTGGTAGCTCACCAGTGTTGTTTGGTCTCAGGTAGGAGAACAAACTAAAGCTGAGTAATTATCCTCTATCCAGAATATAAGGTCTATCAAAGTAAAATAGTGATCGACTCTGGTAATAGAACATTTTGTGCTGACTTATTTGGACTGACTTTATTTCCTGGCCCTCTATCCAGGATATAAGGTCTATCAAAGTAAAATACTGATCGACTCTGGTAATAGAACATTTTGTGCTGACCTGTTTAGACTGACTTTATTTCCTGGCCATCTATCCAGGATATAAGGTCTATCAAAGTAAAATAGTGATCGACTCTGGTAATAGAACATTTTGAGCTGACTTATTTAGACCGAGACTTTACATCCTGGATAGAGGACAGTTTGTTGGCTATTATCTGTTGTCCTACACCTGAGTTCAACTATAGACCATGCATCAGCATAAGTTGCCAAATAGCACGAAACAGCTGTCCATAGTTGGCCGTCTACGCTCGGACGAACTGAATCTATATTACTGGTTTGTTGAATGGCGAGTAGACCGTACCTTCTATATCACTAGAAGTGATAACTTTGCTCTCAAATGCGAACTAGGATACAGTTCCAACAGAGAGCTTGCTGTTTTCACTCGCACAGTGGTCGATTCTGGTAACAGATGGCACTTTGTGCTATCTCATTTCAAAATAGTTCATTGGAGAGTTATTTAGGATTTGTTCATTCGATTCTCTTAATTAACATGTCGAGAAGGGGCAATGGGTAAGGATCAGTGTCTACAAGTGGGGGTTTTGGCACTGAAAGTAACTTAAATATCAAATTGATCACATCTATGAAATTCTTGCATTTAAATATTTTAGAACATATGTATTTTGAACTTTCATCGACATTTTTCTTTCGGTTTTAGTACTGGATTGTTCTTTAAATGCACAAGGATTGCAATTTTAGCGTTTTTGTCCAAAGTTCACAAATTTTCGAATACCAAACTTGGATCTTTATGAGCCTAAGGTTGCAATATTTTCTACTTCTGCTCTATAGTTAAACAAAGACACAAAACTATAAAACCCTTGTTTTTGAGGTGAACTCAGTGGACCATCATCTTTATTGTTATTGATTTATGCGCGTGACAGCCCATAAGAAAAACAAAATTTATCGCTGGCTACAAGAAAAGAAACCAGGGCAAAATTTCCCATTCTCGTTGTAGTTCTTGCAAACCCCCAAAACCCCACCACTGGAGCCGCTCTTGTCTGTAACAAAAACCATTGATTACCTATTCCACCTGAAGATAGCCAACCTAATGTTAAATATTCCTGCGTCCAAAAAATTATGATAATAAAATGCCAATCCCTAGCGTCATCTATGAGAATTTCGTCACATCTGCTATCTATTGACTAAGGGTCGTATCGTCAGTCGTCCCTACCATCGTAGAACGCTATTATGGCCTCCTTCAGTTCATAGTTTTTTTACTGTTCGTTGTCAGCGTTCTATTTTGAGGTTATGCAACAAATATCTATCTGCACTGAATTATTCTTGCCTTTGACTTATATCATATGTTATAATAATAATGTTTATTGGTCCAATTACAAAGTTTTCGTATAAATAATAACGGCAGTGTTCAATAAACATAATATACCCAAAAGTGCTTGGGTTTTAACCGAAGTTAAATTACATTAATTCAACAAATTTCCTATGCGTATACTACTCACATGTATAAATTTGCATCATTTTATTATCAAATAACATATAGGTTTTTAATGCCTACGAACTTATGAATTTGTAGCCTTGGTTGATTTAGGATCTATAATTTTAATTCAATTTCTAAATGTTTTTTACATTTTATATGTTTAGGGTTTTCAGGAATAACATCATAAAATTTTAAGCATAGAAAATAGAACGATCTTTGGCTGATAGTTTTATTCAGTCTAGGAATTGGTGCAGATGTTTCCTTGTATCAGCCCGAAACTTCCTACGATTCAAAAAGAAAACATAGCCTCACAACAGGAGAGCGCTGACGCTGACACGTAACAGTAGAAATCTAGAAATACCTCAGGAAAGAAAATACTATGAAAATCAAGGAGGCCATAAAGGCGTCCTACAATGGTTGGACTGACGATACGGCCATAAATATACTTTGAAAAGGTTAGTATCTCATAGATAGCGGTGTAGCACATTGGTTGCACCAACTATGAGACATTAACCTTTTCAAAGATATATACCTTAGTAACTAGAGAATAGCGGTGACAGGTTTGTATAGATTCCAGAACTCCACTTTAGCGTAGGTATATCGCAAATATTTAATTTTTTATTTTAAAATGAAAGATTAGGATGTAACTTGTACCTCTGCTTGCTATTTTATAGAACTTCAAAGTTGCATTTTGGGTGGTAATGCTGTGGTATAGAATACTGCGTTGTAAGATCTTTTTCTCTTGCAATTTTGCACCATTCTAATGATGAAAATAGATCATTGTCGTCATTTCTTTTATTTCAGACAAATATTCTCATCACTAGTACACCACCATCACTATCATAATTTCTCCATCTAGTTGCAATGTTGGCAAATCGTGGATAGTTGTTAGTTGTAGTCGGCTAATACAGTAGATAAGACAATTTCGCACGCGAATTGCAATTCAACTTGGTTTGTCAAATTCTTACTTCCTAATAAAAAATGTGCAATCGGCACAAGATTGACATGAGAACACGATTTGGAGGTGTGGCGGGCCCCTTTTTTGAAGTGTGCCTTACGCCCTTTATGAAAATAACTCGATTATTTTTTCATATATTATAGTTATAATTCACTTACTTTTTGTATGTATGTACATGAAGAATGAAGCTGATGTCACAAAATATATCTGTTTAATTGAATGTAATATATGTGAGAAATAGAGAATTTACTGAAAAAGTAGCTGTTGTCAGTTACTAAATAATGAAAACATAACAAAGATAAACATTGTAGTAAAAAAAAAGAGATTTTAAAATGTGCGTTATTGAATTGGTTTTTTTGATGATTTGATTGTCGTTGATCATTATTCAACTATAACGTTGGACGATGATATGTTGGGTGGACCTGGCGACGTGGTTTCGTAAGTGCACTTTGTACTAGAAATGACTTAAAAATCGGGAAGGGAAAATGTCAGGAGGTGGTGTCAGAAATGATTGCCGAGCTGCTTATCTCCATAATCCAACGATATGCCCGTCGTCGATCTGACGTAGCCATTGTCGCGTTCACGGAATTGATTTTTCGGGTTTTTACTAGAAGCAACTACAGATGAATTTTAGTTGTGAATTCTTCTAAAAAAGGTAAAAGTCGCATTCTTCAAGGCGAATTGCAAAAAATGATGATTTACTGAAAGGATTGCGGACTTATTATCGATCGCCTCCACGAGGTGCTTCCTGGAAACACCACATAATGGCCAAACGAGCAGTTATTAACCATAATTTGACTATTGTTATATGCAACGACTGCTGGTCTTTTTGTATTTTTTGTCACGCAAGCCGCAAATAACATATTTTTTTATTATGTATTTCTCGAAAAAAGTACAATTTGGCAACAGTGGACGTCATTTGTCTTATCTGACAATATATGAACATTATAAAATAGCCATTGAGCATTGTATCTAGCTTAAAACATTTATGGTAAATGCAGAAACTTTTATCTCATTGAAAATACGCGAAAAATGGATAAGGAGTTTCAAGAAGACATTGTAAAAGTACAACACAACACCTCTACACAGTTTACCACGTAAATATCATTTAAGGTTAGTATTTTGAACTGTTATTTTAGATTATTACAGGGCTGGTTTTGAACCTTTTTTTGCAAAGAACAACAATTTTTTATAGTTTCACATCTATTTTCCTCATTTCTACTGATTTCTTCAATTTTTTTTTTCGAAAATTTCGGCCATTACGCGGTAATGTGTAGTTTTACCCACGCTTTATCTCGGATAATTTAATGGACGACGGAATATAACATTAGGTTGGCTATTTTCAGATAGAAAACGTTAATCAATTCAAAAACAGACAGCTACCTCCTGCCCCACAACATTGTAAATTTCGCCTGTACTATAATGATACATCTGTTTCACGCCGCCACTGTCTACCTTGTAACGGCAGACAAAATTAGGAATTATTCCTTTTTTCCTTTAGTAAATACATTTCCATATTTCGAAATCTGTATTATATCCTTTAAAATAATTTCCGCATCGTCATATGGCCTTGAACAGCGTTATAAAATGAACAAGCGGTATGAATTTTTCATGGCAGCGCGTCGAGCGAACTGATGGTGATTTAGGATAGAAGCAAACGACTCCCCAGTGGCGCAATTGGTTAGCGCACGGTACTTATAAGACAGTAGTCGTGAGCGATGCCGGGGTTGTGAGTTCGAGCCTCACCTGGGGAAGATTTTTTTTCAAAATTAGATTGAAGAAAAAGACGAAATGTCGATTCAAACAGTTTATAAATTGATTTTTAATTTCGTATGCTATCAGGAAATCTTGTATAACGTTATTATGTGTTATTAATTTTGTTCCCATTGAATTTTAGCTACTGGGTTTGTGATTGCCAACTTAAAATATGCTGTCCAAAATTCGGTTGAATTACACAGTACCGCCCAGAGGTTTTCAGTGGCGTTCTCTTAAGGTCTGTATCTCAGAAACAAAGTGATACTTTGAAAATCGCAAAAAAATTACCTCTTAAATTTTTCTCCCGCCTTTTACTAATCTTGTATATCCAGGGTGATTCACAAGTCGTGACCAGAAATGAAACATCATATGGAGTATACTTTATCTGAAGTCACTTGAAACACTGTGAAATACCGGGTGCGTTTTATATATCTATATTTAACACGCTCTGTTGCTGCAAAAATTGCCAAATTTCGCAGCAAATATCAGATCAAGATCAAAGGCAGTTTCGCCGGTCCA